TACAGAGAGAGAAAAAAAAGAAGAAAAAAAAAATAGAAAAGAAAAAGTGTAACAAGAAAATAAAGCAAAGAAAAAAATAATATAAAGTTTCGTCATGAAACGGAAAAAAGAAAAAGAAAAGAAAAAAAGAAAAAAAGAAAAAAAAAAAGAAGAAAAATGATTCGTTAAAATATCGAAAAAAAAAAACTTAAATGACACATCATAACGTTAAAATTTTTTTTAAATCGAAATTCGAAAAAAAAAGAAAAAAAATATTTAGTCCTATTAATCACGATGCGTACACTATATCGACGAAATTACATTGTAATTAAGTGGAAAACTATATTACGTGCTCGGCTACCTCAGCTCGTACGCTTTATAATTATGTATCGCGCGTTATTACCGATTGGTAGATGCATGCGTATAGGTACGTGCGTGCAATTCGAACGCATTCACGGCATCAATATACATTTCGTATTAATAACCGTTCTATCTATTAACATCAGTAATGGATCAGAATTTAGGAATAGGACGCCATTTGACTTTAATTTAGATGATGTTTCACTCGATGATGTTAGTAATAAGACATGAAGGTATATTATGAAATTAAATAGAAAAAAAAAAGAAAAAAAAAAAGAAGAAACGAATATAGAGAAATTATTATATTATCCTTTTTTTCTTTTACTTCATATCACAAAAAAAAAAAAATTGAAAATGATAGATCTCTTTTAAAGAAATAAATTTTTCTACAACACTGAGTACATTCTTTCTTTTTTCTTTTTCTTTTCTTTTCTTTTCTTTTTTTTTCTTTTTTTTTTCTTCAATATGACAATGCAAAGCCAATTTTACGCTGCGTCAAAAATATAACATAATAAATAATATAAGATATTTTATTATTTATTATTATTTTACGCTATAAAGATATAGAATAATGAATATATTATTACTATTACTGTATGAATGATGAGAATAAAAAAAGAAAAAAAAAAAAAAACAGAAAAAAATCTGTAATAACAAAGTAATTATTTCGTACGAATTTTCTGTGTCGTTCGTTCGTTTCGTTTTTTGGTTTCTTAAAGATATAAAAAAAGAACAAAAGAAAAAAAACAAAAAAAAAAACAAAAAAAAAAAGAGAGAGAGAAAAAGAGAAAGAAACATCGTTATAATCCAATAATTAAGAAAATATCGAGATTCTCGGTGTTAGAACGTAACGACGTTTTAAGAACGATCGAATCGAAATATCTACCTAATCCTTTTACATGCTGGAATTATGTCCTGATTTCGAATTTTGCTATCAGTCACGAAACGTATAGGTATCGATCAACAAACCGCGACGAGCTTCTCTTACGTACGCGTAATCACTCTTCCGCGATTAAAAGTACTAGTCAAATATATTTTCCTGAAGAGTATCCATCCAATAGAACGAACGTAATGCGATAGAGAATTGGCTCTCTCAGAATGACATAGTAGACAGTGGATATAACGAAAATCGTTCCCATAGGATAGATAAAGATTTATCCAGAGAAATATCTTTTTATCTAGGCACGCATACGAAATAATTTTTATTAAATAGACGTTCGCAATAATCTTTCTCTTTCGTCATACGGATTTTATCATTGATCGTCTATTCGAAATAATTTCAATGTATATATTTATTTATTATTAATTTTATAAAATCTTAACAA